ATTTTTGTATTTTTAGTAGAGACAGGGTTTCACCATGTTGGCCAGGCTGGTCTCGAACTCCTGACCTCAGGTGATCCACCCGCCTTGGCCTTCTAAAATGCTAGGATTACAGACGTGAGCCACCGCGCCTGGCCTTTTATTTTTTATTTTAATGATAAAGTTTTGTATTTGGTTATAATGCTTCTGCAGTTGTCCTGTTCTCTATGCCATATATATGGGTCTTATGGAGACTGAATGTTCTCATATAGGATCTGATGAGACAAGTGTGACTTCATAATTATATATTAACATTGTTTAAAATATTCAATACATCAACAAGACGTACCATCACTTTTTTATTTGGCAGTAATAGTAATACATCCACATTACAGTGCTTATTTTGGCTAAAGAGCCAGTGCAATTTTTTCTGCTACTGTAGTGTTTTACTTTTACACAAATTAATGAGTACAGGCCTTACATTTAGGAAATAGAAACATTTACTGATATCAGCCAAGTAAAGCTAATACATGGTTGTTCTCAAACTAAACAAAACAATAACATAATATATTCATTAGGAACAAAGTAGGGATGTTATTTCCATTAATCACAGATTACATAAATTCTTAAATTTCACATACATATTTCTTAATCTAAGCAAAAATTAGAATTCAGCTTAATTTCTATAATCATTTTGAAATTTACATCAAATAATTTCTGAATATATATTCACATTAAAATGAAAATGGGTTATATAAACATAATTAAAAATTTCTGATTATGAAAAGTTACAGAGAAGTACATTAAATGTTACTTTGGCATTCCTATTTCCTAGGCTAACAGGAATTATTAAGAATTCCTTTGTAATGCAAATAATCACTCTCTTGGAAATTAAAGTAGAAAATGTTACATTTTAAGGCAAGAAAACATTTGTAAATATTTTTATAAAGGCAGTTAATTTAACAAATTAATGGAATCGTAGTAAATGGATGCAAATAAAGAATATTACTGTATGAGAAAGAAAGTTCTTTGGAGCTGTGACAGTATGGAAAACTTGTCTTCTTTTTTAAAAGATAAGTCCATTTTGATACTTAATAAACATAATGTTAACCTTCAAGAAGAAATAAGTACTCTTTTAGTTGAACAAAAATGTAGAGAAATCAAAATAGAAAAAAGGAAATTAAAAGAAATACCAAATGTAAATTGCCTGAAAATTTATCTTCTTTCTTCCAGAAAAAAGGCTATTTTCTCAGGACTGACTTAACTGAAGTCCCTCTTACAATTTACATATGGAAGTGGATGGTAGAACTCATGGTGGCAAGGGCAATTCCATGAGTGTTTAAACAGGGTTTACCCTAAAAGGCTCTGAACTAATCATTTTTAAAAACATTGCTTTTGCTATTTAACCCAATTTTAAGGCAAATGGAAACTGTTATATATGTCTTTTGTTTTTTTTTGGGACAGAGTTTCGCTCTTGTTGCCCAGGCTGGAGTGCAATGGCACGATCTCGGCTCTCTGCAAGCTCTGCCTCCCAGGTTCAAGCAATTCTCCTGCCTCAGCCTCTCGAGTAGCTGGGATTACAGGCATGCGCCACTATGCCCAGTTAATTTTGTATTTTTAGTAGAGACGGGGTTTCACCATGTTGGTCAGGCTGGTCTCAAACTCCCGACCTCAGGTGATCTGCCCACCTGGGCCTCCCAAAGTGCTGGGATTACAGGCATGAGCCACTGCATCCGGCCTGTTATATATGTCTTAAGTACCCTTCTCCATGCAGTCAGAATGTTCAAGAAGACATTTCCTTTAAAAAGTTCAAGTTTCGCTGGGCACGGTGGCTCACGCCTGTAATCCCAGCACTTTGGGAGGCCAAGGTGGGCGGATCACAAGGTCAGGAGATCGAGACCACCCTGGCAAACATGGTGAAACCCCGTTTCTACTAAAAATACAAAAAAATTAGCCGGGTGTGGTGGTGGGTGACTGTAGTCCCAGCTTCTCAGGAGGCTGAGGCAGGAGAATGGCGTGAATTCGGGAGGCAGAGCTTGCAGTGAGCCGAGATCGCGCCACTGCACTCCAGCCTGGGCGACAGAGCAAAACTCTGTCTCAAAAAAAAAAAAAAAAAAAGTTCAAGTTTCTTCTCTTACAATAGAGAGGTTTTTCCTATACTTATTGTCCTAAAATTCTATTTGGTCACTCTTACCTCTTTTGTGAAAGGCCACATCTTGCTAAAGTAGCAGCTACTGAACTGACCAGAAACAAACTCAAACACTGAATTTGACAAACCATCCTGCTGAATATAAGCAACTTTTTCTTAGATGAAATGTAAAAAAGAAAAAAAAAACAAAATAAAAAGCAACACCTTCTAGAAAGCCATTCGTCTTATCTCATAAAATTAATTCCCCAGAGTTATCTCATGTAGTAGCAGCATTATCAAATAGTGCAATTCTTCAAAACTGCTGTCAAATAATATCTTTCTAAAATAAATTACATTTACTTACAGCTTTGCTTATAAAACCACAACTTAAAACACTTATCCCTCAAATGGGTAAGTTAATATAAGCAATAACCGTCTTGTCTACATGGTAATGAAATGCATGTGCACGCACACATATGTGTGTGTATCATTCAAGACCAAAGATACCACAACAAGGTAAAAACATGTAATATTAAATAAAAAGTAAACAGTATATAATGGAATTTTTAGTTTTGGTACTTCTAATCATATTCCCATCAATAATAAGAATTATAAATAGGTAATTGTTAAATTAAGCATCTATGTAAGAAAAGTCAAGGAGCTATATACTAAAGAACAGTGGTAATTTGTATGTTTCATGCTATATAACCTAGAAAGTACATGCAAAACAGCATGATCCTGAATTCCATATTTTGTAGTTAATTTACATAAATGTGGCACATACACAAATTTACAAATCTTAAAAGATTATGCTTTTTCCCCCGACTTTTCATCTTCTATTTATTAATCAGAAACTAGGCACTTTCATCTAAAAATTCGCTTTTTAAAAATGCGTTTTAGGAGTAAGACATGGTGGCACATGCATCTAGTATGAGGAGTTGGAGACTGCAGTGAGCTATGTATGATAGCACACTGCACTCCAGCCTGGTCAATAGAGCAAGACCCCGTCTCTTAAAAGAAGAAAAAAACCAGAGCATTTTAGGTCCTTTTGTGCAACTCACTCCTAAAATGAATAAAGCCCGTTTTAGGGGCAAAATCAATAAATCTAATCTACTTACATACTGAGTTAGCCACTCCAAATAAGTGGTATATTATTTAGAAACAAAATTAATACAACTCTGACAGCATTTAATATACTCTTATAGAAGAACCCCACCCATAAAAACAATTCATTTGTTTGTAGATTTATCATAATGAACATGAAATATATACTTCCACATGATTAAAAATAGTTTTGCTTTACATTCAAGGCAGGGAAAAAACCCTTCTTTAAAACGTCAGTAAGATTCAAAATATGAATATTTTAAAAACATGGACATAATATGACAAATTCCCACTGGGCTGAGTTTTCTGTGGGAATAACTAAAAGGAAGTTTTGTAGAAGAAAGGAGAAATTATTTTACTGTACCAAGTTTCATACCTTCAGATGTTGACAGTCTTCAAATAACACTAAATTTTAAATTGCCTTTATTAATTAATAAATGTTATCTTTTTAATCAATATTCATTCCAGGGAAAAATGCTCTAATGTATAAAAAGAAAGTTCTTCAGTCTCTTTGTAACTTACAGGACCAACAGTAACATATTTTGGAAACTACAGTTAATATAAATTTATAAATTGTGAATTTCTCAGTGTCAATTCATTTAAATGTTTTATTTGTTTTATTTATTCACTTTTGAGATAGGGTCTTGCTGTCACCCAGGGTGACGTGCAGTGGTGCAATCACGGCTCATGACAGCCTTGACCTTCTGGACTCAAGTGATCCTCCCACCTCAGTCTCCCAAGTAGCTGGGACCACAGACACATGCCACCACACCCAACTAATTTAATTAAATTATTTATTTTTTGAGATGGAGTCTTACTTTGTTGCCCAGGCTGGAGTGCAGTAGTGCGATCTCGGCTCACTGCAACCTCCACTTCCTGGGTTCAAGCAATACTCCTGTCTCAGCCTCCCTAGTAGCTGGGACTACAGGCGCCCGCTACCACACCTGGCTAATTTTTGTATTTTTAGTAAAGACGGGGTTTCACCATATTGGTGAGGCTGGTCTCGAACATCTGACCTCAGGTGATCCGCCCACCTTGGCCTCCCAAAGTGCTAGGATTACAGGCATGAACCACCAAGCCCGGCCTATTTTTATTTTTACTTTTAAATTTTAATATTTCCATGGAACTCTGCTTGATACCAGCTAATTTATTTTTATTTTTTTGTAGAGACAGGCGTCTCCTCATGTTGTCCAGGCTAGTCTCAACCTTCTAGCCTCAAACTACCCTCCTGCCTCAGCCTCCCGAAGTATTACAGGCATGAGCCACTACAAGTGGCCCATTTAAATAGTCTATAACAATATTCAGTGATTACAATTTCTTTGATTCAAATACATAAGCAAATGCACAAGCAATAATGTATGCAGTACATGTTAAACATCGTTACTGCCTAAACTTGATTAAACAAATAACTTTATAATTAAAAATATGTTTCTAGGCAAAGTTAAATATACTGACACTAGGAGTAATATATTCTTTCATGTGTGGGCCACAAAGATCTTGGCTAAAGTGTACATTTTAAAGGTGCAAAACACAAAAACAGAGCTTTTGAGAATGACACCTTCAAGAAGACAAACCAATTAACTCCCAAATATTGGCTTCAATTCAAGCAATATTTCTGTAAAAGATACATTTCACAACTTTGATTATTACCTAATAAGTGCAAAAAGCCACTATGACTACACTACACAGGAATTCAATGACAGAACTTCTGTATAAATACAGTACAGTTGCTCATTTTTTACTAGATTTTTTTTCCTCCTGAATCCACATGCACCAATTCTGTTGATTCTGTAATATATGTTACAAAATCAATAGTTACCTTAAAATATTTCATAGCACACTCAAATTGCATGATGCTCATGGTACTTATTGTACTTTGGCTTCCAGTAGCCCAGTGGACATAACATGACCATGACTACTTAGACAACTACTCGTATGCCTCAGGGCATCTGCTTCAAGATAGGCCATTAAAAGCTCAGTGCGGCGAATGAGTAACTGCATGAGGTCTTCAGCTAAAGTCTCTGTACTTGAATAGCGCACCTTCTCAAAGTCAAAAATGTCTTTGAGAAATAAAAGAACTTGATTCTGGAAAATGAACATAAAACAAATTGGCATTTATTAGACCAAAGTTATGTTACATTGAAAAAGCTTCTAATATTATAATGAGCATTGAATCAGGAATCAGAAGACCTGACTTCCAGTGCTAGTTTCATATCTCATTAGAAAAGGGACCTTGCACAAGTGATTTAACCTTTCCTTTTTTGGGGCTCATTGTCTTTTTCTGTGAAATAGGGTTAATACCACCCATCCTACTTACTACTCAGGGATGACATGATGATCAAAAAAGATAACCTATGTGATACCATGAAGAGGTGGGGAAACATTTTAAAAAGATAATCTATAAGAAGTGCTTGTAAACTCTAAAGCACTGTTTAAATGTAAGGGGTTATAGTCCTTTTCCTTCAATGTGACCTTTAAGCATTGCCTCTACTCTAAGACAGAAAAATAAACTATTCTAGTAATAGTTTTAAATAAATAATAATAAAATAATACATTATAATTTTAAATGTGCTTTTTTTGTACAAGAAAAACCCTTAAGGCACATGAAAAACAAAGAACATTTCAGGTCTCAAATCAGTGGTAGATCCTGAAGGATATTTCATTTCAGTAAGTTATTATATACACTGAAACTCACTGTAAGCAAACTGCCTACTAATAAATATTAAGTCTCAGTTGTTATGTCACCATAATAGAAAAAAAAGTAATTTCAAAGAGTGAAAAACAGGAATATTTAATTTGTCTTCTTTCTTAATAACATATCTTCCAAACGTTATTAAGAAGTACTAAGAAGACACACTTCACTGATTCACTAGATTTTTTTTTTTTTTTTTTTTTGAGACGGAATCTCGCTCTGCCGCCCAGGCTGGAGTGCAGTGGCGCGATCTTGGCTCACTGCAAGCTCCACCTCCCGGGTTTATGCCATTCTCCTGACTCAGCTTCCCGAATAGCTGGGACTACAGGCACCCACCACCACGCCCCGCTAATTTTTTGTATTTTTAGTAGAGACGGGGTTTCACTGTGTTAGGCAGGATGGTCTCCATCTCCTGACCTTGGGATCCGCCCGCCTCGGCCTCCCAAAGTGCTGGGATTACAGGCGTGAGCCACCGCGCCCGGCTGATTCACTAGATTTTATATCTGAAAGGGTCATTAGCAATCAACCTGTTAGGTCCCCTCATTTTATAGATAAAGAAAAGGAACAGCAAAGAATGATTTGCCCCAAGTCAGAATGCTCACTGATGACAGACTTAATTCCTAATCCCTAAAACACATACCTTACATTTGGGTAGTCAAGTAAACTACAAAAACCAATGTGTTCTGAATGAGAGTAAAATAAACATTTTCTAAACCATTTATAAAAATATTACCTTGACAGCACATAAACATAATTTAAAAAAAAGAATGGTACAGTAAAACATCCAGACTTTCAAATTCATACAGTCATGGCTCACTGCAGCCTCACCTTCCCAAGCTTGAGCGATCCTCCCACCTCAAAATCCCAGGTAGCTGGAACCACACGTGCATGCCACCCCTCCCGGCTAATTTTTTCTATTTTTAGTAGAAACAGGTCTCACTGTGTTGCTCAAGCTTGGGTATCCCCTGCATTAGGGAACTGATAAGGTGAATGGATATGCTGAGCCTACTCCACAATAAAGCACCAAATCTATAAAATACTGGTCCATTATAATAATAGTGGTATTATAAAATGCCAAAAATAGTTAATACTGGCATTTAAATGCTGAATTTAGGTGACTTTTATAAATTTACTCTTAAATAACAGTTGTTCTTCTACAAAAGCAAAACAGAATAAAACTGTATCTCCTCTTTGATTTAGAAAAAAAAGAGAAATTACTCAATGACTGAACATACCTTAAAAAAGCAACATAAATCATAGAGAGAATTTCTAGGACCCAAAAAGCCCCAGGCTAGGACAGGACTGATGTGTTCACAAATGGCATAAAAATGGGCAAAAAATCCATCTGGGATCTGTTGGGAAGTAAAGGAGAATCAAGTTATTTCTACCTCCTTGTTATTTGCTTTCTCTAGTACAGAAACTGAAGTTGATATTCATTATATGACCAGTGGGAGTTTAAGAAAATTTGCTTTTTAGACCAGAGTCTAGCAACACCTCAAACTCCTGGCCTCACGCAATCCCCCTGCTTTAGCTTCCTGAGCAGTGGGGACTACAGGTGCACACTACAGTGCAAGGCTCATGACTACCGTTTTTGAGGGCAAACCAAGAGTCAATCATCAGCCATGCTATTAAGAAAGTTAATAAGGTTACAAGAAACCTTTAGAGTCATAGAGTGTTTTATATAAACTAGTTTATAGTTTTCATATCCTAGTCAATAGTTTAATATGTGCTGAGACACATTTCTTTCTTTGTTGTTTGTTTTTTTGAGACAGGGTCTCACTCTGTAGCCCAGGGTGAAGCGCACTGGTGCAGTCATGGCTCACTGCAGCCTCACCTTCCCAAGCTTGAGCGATCCTCCCACCTCAAAATCCCAGGTAGCGGCCGGGCGTGGTGGCTCAAGCCTGTAATCCCAGCACTTTGGGAGGCCGAGACGGGCGATCACGAGGTCAGGAGATCGAGACCATCCTGGCTAACACGGTGAAACCCCGTCTCTACTAAAAAAATACAAAAAACTAGCCGGGCGAGATG